TATATTCAGCCATAATAAAAAATAGACCATTAAATGCTTAAACTGCGTCTGCTGATGCGGTCGCTTATATACCATAGCTGCCGCGATTTTACTTACGAGTTCGGTGGCCATCTAGTGGCAGCACCGAAGCTTTATAAGCGCCTGGCCAAATAATATAATTATTTCATTGAAAGATATTACTTCAAATAATAGTGTTTTTTCTATCAAATAATACAGGTTGTTTGAATAAAACAACAAAATTCTTATTCAAAACATATAATGTTTCGTATAAGCATATTTGTTTCAATGAAACAAATTTCAACCAAATAAATAGGAATACTAAATCCAAAGAAACCGTTCTCTCTGTGTACAATCGGCATTCAAGCAGTTTCATTTTTAACCGATAAATTTTGTAACTATCCAAACAAAAGTACGCACATGATAGTTATTAATGCGAAACGATGTGTCCCGATTTGCTCTCGTATCTTTTTATATGTAGCGAAACTGATAAGAGGTGTACGCGTGCTCCCGGCCAGTAGCGAAATACGCGGCGCGAATGCACAATGAGCCGCGGCCTGCCGGCTGCGGGCATTTCATCGCCTTTCGGATTGAAACTCCGTCTGGTAATATTTTCCCGCGGGCGAACTTGATTAAAGCGCGGCGGACCGGCCTTTTAAACGAGCAAACAGTGGCCGCGCCGTAGCGTGCGGCTAGAACGCGGCGCGACGATGGCCGCGAAGGCACCTGGCAGGTGGCGGCGCGAGGCAAGCAAATGCAATTTTATGCCTCAGTTTTTCTCATTTCGCTCCTGTCATCGCGCGCTGCGCCAACCCGACCCCGCGTTCCTTTCCGCCCCCCCCCCCCCCGTGCCCCCGCAATCGCGCAAGTATCCGCCGGAGAAGCGCACCTCTGATCTTCCGGACCTCTACCCGCTGGTCTGCATCTTCCTGCGAAATGAATCCCGCGGAAAATGCGAACGCGCCGCGTACAAAATATATACAGGGTGTTATGTAATACCCGCCTCACCTCTTAATTGCGAATAGAGCGGTCTAAACTAACTCGAAGAGTCCTCTACCATTTTGCACTTTTCGCAATAGTTAACGAGTTATTAATTATTAAAAATTACTGTGTTAGCCCGGCCTATCCAATTCAAGCGCGGAGATGCCGTGTGTCATAAACATAGACATAGTAAATATAGACTGAGCGTCCCATTGAATAAGCTGAAGCTTGTGAAGAGAGAGAGGCAAAGGAGATTTAAGAAGACTTTCTTTCTCTGTCTCACACCGCATCGTGAGAAGGGAGAATCACGCCTGTATAGTACTGCGCAGGCACGATTCTTTTCTTTTACGCTGGTGTAAGACGGAGAAAGAAAGCCTTCGTAAATCTTCCCTCGCTCTCTTCACAAGCTTCAGCTTATTCAATGGGACGCTCAGGCCGGTATTCATAGTCCGTTCTTATATTTAAGATCATCTTAAGTATGCTCTTAATGTGTTTTCAACCAATCACAGAACTGTATTAGCGTCTTAAGACGATACTTAAGATGATTTTGAAATGAGAATCGACTATGAATACCGGCCTCAGTCTATATTTACTATGTCTATGGTCATAACAACTCCCCGCCTAGCAACGCCGATCGTGGGATGGTCGAATCTCGCCTAGCAACGCCGATCGCGGGATGGTCGAATCTCGCCGCGCGCTTGAATAGGCCGCGCTAAGACAGTGACTTTTTAATAATTAATAACTCGTTAACCATTGCGAAAATTGCAAAATGGTACAAGACTTTCCAGCTGAGTCTAATCTGCTCTATCCGTAAATAAGAGGTGAGGCGGGTATTACATAACACCCTGTATTAATATTTTCGATGCGCGACAGAATCCTCTACCCTGTGCTCGCTATTGTTTTCGCGATTGCTCTCTTGTATTAAATCAAATGACGGCAAGATCGAGGGGGAGGTGAATTTTATTGGCGCTAGTAGGATTATTTATCAGTGGTTCGACAGTGAGATTATTCACTTCTTAACGTTTACGTTACCTCGTCGTTTGATTAAAAAAATTCTCCAAGGTTATTTTACATATCTAAAGCAGAGGCACGTGCGAAATTGAAACGCAACGATATATCATACGCGAGAAAGGTCGGCCTGCGTCGGAAAGCGTATTCAACGCCGTGAGAAATGAGAGAATATCGTACATGTGCCCGGAAACGCATATCTATATGGAATTTTGATATGCGATTCGTAAAATTTCGGATTTCATTCCGTTGTGTGATTTATCGGAGATGTAACTTGGCCGCGCTGGATTCAGCATGGAAAATTCGCAATCGCGAGCGCGGGAAGTGACCGAAATGAAATGAAAGAATGCATGTAACAGGCGTATTACGTCGCTGCCGGCTGTGCGCGAATGTCGAGTGCCGTCCGCGTGAATTACGTGGTGATTTCGCACTCTCTTTCGAAAGCATCTGCCGTGCCTGCTTTCGTATTTACGCGTTTATTTCGAAACTGACTTGAGGCACGTCGCACAGTGCGACATATATTTCGATATAAACGATCTCTGTAAACATATCTTCGTTTAATTGTAATAATCATCGTAATCGTGAAACTTATTTTACATAATCTGTCATTGGACACACTCGCACATCGTCGAGCTTTTTATTTTTATTTATCCAATTTTTTTTCTATCAAAGATGAAAAAGTTAGTGCGAAACTCCGAAATTGCAATGTTCTCACTTTGAGTGCTCGTACACTCGCTAAAAGCAAACAGTCAGGCGGCGTAAAGCACTTCCGTTTCTCTCTCTCTCTCTCTCTCTCTTTGATACCATTAAACGATTCCCTCATTGAGTGTCCGCTGTAATATTCCCGGTGTCACCTTTGCTAGGACAAAGGTAGCGCTCTTGCAAATGCGCCTGGTCTTATTAGCGGACTGGTTCTTCTTGGGATCAGCGAGGAGCCGAGCGGTGAACATTTTTATCGCATTACTACACTGCGCTATCATTCTCCGCTCCAAATGTGGCTCTGCATGCATCTCAAAGTAATCCGAATAATCGGATTAACGACCACTTAGTGTAATTTTAGCATCTGCCTGTTAACGAAATGCACTCGGATCGAGTTCACCGCGTTCATATCTTTCCGCTATGAGAAGCTCCGCAGGATCTTGGTATTAATCTGCCAATCTGTCGCGATTAAGACATGCGATCTTGTAAAGTTGGAATAGCGTATAGAATTTGCGAGTTTATGCGTATAGACGTGTATGAAAATAACAGTGTGTGCTGTTTTCTTGACGTTTTCATTAATTTATTTTAAACGTACACGTGGCACAGAAGTGAAAACGTATACCGTCTATGATCAAATGATTGATTAATACCGCTCCAGCATTGGCGAGTCCTTTCTCAGTGCAGATAAACCGACATAGTGATCGTTGACAAACAGTAGAATGGGCTCGATACAGATTAAACTTTGATATTTAATGAATCATTGAATCTATGATGAAATTAATGCTGCTGGGGAGCTTTGATAGAGAGATTACATTGCGCATTAATATGTCAGTGTACGCAGATGGCCACGCGCGATGCACAGTTGGACGGATTCCAGCGTACACTAAATGGTCGATATCTCGACATCGACGTAGTTTTCTCATTGTCATGAAATTTTATATTAATCTTCCGCAAATTATTTGTTGTCTTTATTCGCATATTTTTGACAGTTATATTTAAACACGTCATTTCGTTAATTTGTCCGCAGCTTCATTGTTCATCTTCTTTATCCTATTCTATAATATAAATGTATTTATAATCAATTATACTAGATTGGCAGGCGAAGTGACTCTCATTTAATTTTGTAATAATTTCTAGTGATTGGTAGATTTAATGAAATTAATGGAAACAAAGATATAAAAAGCCGTTGAACGTTTCGAGATTTCGTTGAGTGGAAATGAAAAAACTCATTTTGCGCTGAAGTTAGAAAAAATGTATTGTTCGCCAAGAAAAACAGAATACTTTGGTTAAAAAGCACTTTTAAAAAACACTTTTATCGTTTTAAGTTTTATAAATAGCGTGATATGCAGTAACGCGAAGTCCCACGTACTCTCGTTTGCAAGCGAATGCTTGGCGCGCATTACCAGGACGATACCAGGAACGTTTTAACGCACCGTCATCTTTTGGATGCTAGTCCACTTTTTTCCGACCATTATACGTACAACATGAGTACGCAAGAGTACACGCAGAGAGAGAGAGAGGGAGAGAGAGAGAGCAACGGAAGGGGAGTCGCAAGATTTGAGCTTGAAAATGGTATATGACTATGATGGTCCGTTGCATATTTCAAGATCTACTTGCAGACCGATGCGAGATGCTTGTCGTGATTCATACACGTACATCGTAACAAGCGCATATAATATATGCGCATAACCACTCTTGTGTATCGCGTAAAATTATATTCTGCGTTATATTATGTTCTCATATTTTGTAAAATATTCTATTTCATAATATAGCTGATTCCATAAAATATCTTGAAGCCGTTATTCCAAATTATTTTGCTTCTAAATAACGTATGTCGTTAATAATCCAGCAGACCGGCTAATAGCGTATTAATAATTTTGCAAATCCTCGAACTTGTTAAAACGCACTCCCAAACGGTGAAAAGACGTTTAAATGGAATATAAATACAATTTGTATGTTTCTACGCTCGTAAAAAAAATGTATTTTTATAGCACCGATACGTACATATTTAGATTATTTTTTTGCCTATGTCGAATCCAGATACATGATACCATTACTGTAACAATAATTATCAGGTTACAATGCAATAGTTGCAATTCGAGTTTCATTTTTGTGGTATCCGTTCTAATTGACAAGCAGCGTGTAATGTTCAATTTACGAAAATGGATTTTAGTGAAATATTTTCCCAATTTAGTATCACGAATGAATCGCGCAAGTTTGCTCTTTCAGGTCATCGCGCGTAATGTAGTTATTTGTTTATACTAATTGTAATTGTTTGTTCATACATATTCTAATGTATCTTTTTCTTGTTACAGGTATGTAACCGATTCTCTCGCAGCAGTGCAAGCACAACTGCTATTTCGGTGAGTCTTAAAATAATGTTCTATAATCAACTAGACGGCCATGGCTATTTATTAAGGATGTATTCTTCTAATATATTTAACATTTATTTTTAAATTTTTTATATTTAACGTACGACCGTTAAACACATTAGACTCTGATCCAATTACATGAACTTATATATTTCTGAACAATTTTTTTCATATACTTTTGCATTTATTAAGTTCTTCCGCACTCATTTTTTTAAACAATATCATTTTATGTAATCTGTAAATAATGTCACATATACGTTGCGTTGAGATCTCTGATTACTGGATGCGATCGATCTGGCGTGTCCTATCACCTTTTAGAAAGGCGCGCGAGGTCGATGGTACTTGAACACACAAGGACAAGATATCTCATCCCTACAACTCTTTCGTTCGCTTTTGCTGTGCAGTCCTTGGATGCAACCCTGTCCCCTCGACCGCTGCGTTCTGTCGTGCCACTTTATGACAATGCATTTCCCATTCCATCTATCTGTTTTCCGCGTGAGAAACCTGAATGCCATCGATAAAATATTAAGGGCGACGAACGCACATATAGCGTAAAGTTGTAAGAAAGACATTTAAATGGGTAGAATGATTACCGTTTCAACGGGGAAATTAATTTAAAACGCGATAGCGATGGTAAACATCTTTTTTAAAAATATTTTTCTGTTCAAAGATAATTTATCTCTTTTCATTTGTGAGAAAAGAAGTTTCAATATATTGTCATCTATGGTGTAATGCTAACATATCAATCTTTCCGGTGTATGAAATTATGAGTTTTGTACAATGAGAAAAAGACACAATCAGCACAAAAAGCAAAAAAGTCAAATTATCTAAAACTTTTGTATTGAACAACGTGATATTGTTAATATTAATTTAGCCAATAACGTTCTGACTTCCACTTAAAATAATATTTTTACAATAGCAATAATGAATTGCTTTGCTCTTTACTCCGTATAATAATTTTCTTCACGAAGAATATTAAAGAGGAAAAAGGAAGAATTTACGATTTTTACAGAATGGCACAAAAATTGTCACTTTTATCTTCAAGAAAGTCGAGACTGTCAGCGACGTGGTATTGTCTCTTTCTTTAAATTTATATTATTACTCTTCTTTCTACAATCTACATTGACATATCTATAGATATAATAAATGCGTCTCAGTATTCTTACGCTTTATTTTTTAATTGGATGTCTATACTTTTATTGTTTCATTTACTTTTCTTAAAAAAATTATTATTTAAAGAATACGTGCAATTCCTAATTATCCAACGAATTACTTTTAAAGTTAATATGATGATAAAAATGAAAAATCAAACGACTTTCTACGTATTTTAAAGTAATTTAGCATTCGAAACAATAGCAATAGATATCATTATATTTTTGTTTTAATGCTTAAAGATTTAAAAATATTCTGCATCGTCAAACACAGATTTGTGTATCAAAGCGAAATGAATCATGGAAATTACAGTTGTTAAGAGAACGTGAAAGAGATTTCTATTCTCCGAGAATCGAAATAACGTTACGAAGTTGATTTCCGAGAAAAAAAAACCATTGCAAGACAACTTGACGAAGGAGCATCTAAACAATGTAATTTGTCGGTTCTGGAACATTGGGAGCCATTAATTCACAAAATTAGCCGGATAAATCGAGAACGGGAGCGGTAGAAATCTTCGAGTGGATAACAATCGGCCGCTGGGCGGGCGCTGCAAAGAATGCTCGTCTGCCATTATTGGTTCGAAGAAAATGCCGAATCACCGTGCTTTCAACGCATTCTTTCAATAGATGAGAAATTTACTTTCTTGCAGCTTAGATACGAAACGAGAGTATACGATAAATTGCGACTGCACTTGAAAGTTACAAATGAAAATAGTCATACAATAAATTAGTCCGCTTTCTAATTGCCTTTTCGTATGTCCGCGCGTTCACTTAACGATAGCTTTGCTAGTAACAAGCTTCGTAATTGCCCGGTTCAATTAATATTTTCTTATTTACTTTAACATTTCATACGACTGATTTGGTTTGACATTTAAACTTATAATTGGTGCAAATGGAAGTATGATGTAAAGTTTTTCCTACCGAACAAAGAGACGTTATTCAATACTTTGGCGATTTTAACGGGCAGAACTTTACGTGTATTGTAAATGAAATTTTATGTACGCTGAATGGAGCAGAAGTGCTCGTTTAATATATCGTAGCGTGTCAACTGGAGAAAAAAGAAGCTGCATCCATGCGATTTAAACTTTAGACGTGAGTCGATAGGAAAGTTCTCTGTCGAGATTTTAAATTTATGTTGCGCAAGCTGTCTATATGCAGGTCGCATCGAATCTTAACAAAGTCTTTTGCGCGGATTTCAAGCATCAAGAAATGCTCGTGAAAGTAGTAAAGTTAATTAACCGCTTGTAACACGAACGAGCGCCTTACATCAAACGGTGCTTTAATATCATTCCGCAATGTAGAAATTAAAGCCTTGGAGAGGATAAGAGCATAAACATTTTTTAACGACGCAATTTACGCGACGCTATCTTTTACGATCGCCATTCTCGAACGCTGATATTAAAGACTCTGGCTAGGTTGTTTGGCATTCGATTTCGTGTCACGCGCAAAAGTGTAATTCCGGATTTATTCTATTTCGTGATATTTTATTCTAATTTCCGTATTTAATTTATGAAATTATTTCGAAGGACCGACCTTTGGAGTGTATTTTGCGAATGCTCGCTTTATTCGTTCAGGAAGTAAAAGGTCGCGCGCTAAAATAATTGAGACCGTTCTCTTCAACCATCTTTTATTCTAAATTGTCCGAAGACAAGGCCCGTATCAGATCCTGATTGTTTCATTACGTTTTTCGTTCGACGCAGACTGCGCGGGACAATCGAATTACAATCGGAATTCTCCGGCATGTTCTATATAATGATCAGACATACCGCAGGACGGGGATTTCGCGAATCGAAGAACGACACAGGGCAGAGATTCCCTTAGCTATAAATCCTTATTTCAATATCCATACGGAGATAATTAATGCCAATGCGCACGCTGTGCCGAGTAACGAAGGCGCGATAGCGACGGCACACACGCCGGTTGTACGATCTCACGTTTCGTCGAACGCCTTTCCCGGCGGAATCGGAATTAATTTGCCCACATTTTATAATACAATCGCGCCGAGACCCACCGGACGGCGATTTATAACGGCAATATTTCAGAATGCAACGGAGCGAAGGCGTCAGAACGAATATGCGAAATTGCTGGTCTCAATCCACATTGTCGCGTAATCATGCGATGTCTGTGCCCTGCGCAGAGAAAATCTACAAGAATATATTTTCTCTACGCGTTGTTACGAGTGACATACTTTTTCAAGTGCTTTCGTTAATGTGCGCATTTTCGCAGTGTTGAAAAAATGTGGCTACGTTATACAATGCTGACGTAATCTAACTGAATCTCTTTTTATTTTACGCAAAAAAATTGTTAATCCCAAAGGGATGTTTTCTTCCGCGCATCTAATTAGTGTAAAGGAAGATATGAGAAATAATATATCCCTCTTCTGTAGCAACGTACACGAGGCTTATTCGTCGAATAAAAGGGTCTTTCTCTTCTTCCGTACATTATCGAGGTTGTTAAAAGTAGCCGATCGTACTTTTTTTTACGCTGATACTTGAACTTTTATTTTGCATTAAAAGTTACCTCCCTCCGCTTGTAGATGATATTTTTTATTATTCTTTAATAAAACGGCTTATTATAACTTCGGACCATTCCACTTTTGACATAATCGCGGCGTATATATACAGACTGCATTTCGTATTTCACGTCAAGAACTTCGATGGAACTGCAACTCGCTAAACTAAGAGAATATCTTGATTCCATTGTATCTTCAAGTTTTGTACGGCGCCGAGTGTTTCTTCATGCTTTAACTTTTTGTAGTTTACTGTAACTTTAGAACGACATTGTACTTCTCTTTTACAATCGCGAGACCTCGGTAAGCATTTCTTACCCCCGCGGTTTATTTCGCATCATGATTTTGATCGTTTAAGGTAACGTGAGCGTCGCAGTTATCATTTCGTGGCACATCTCGGAGATTGTTATCGAAGAGATCCACCAGAGCCTCCGAGTAATGTAATTTGATCTAGCGCCAAGTCGCGTTTGTGTTGTTTCCACTGCGTAATAATAATTACAATAGATAGGGCGAAATTTAAAAAACATAAAGGATCATTTTTGTCAGTTTTATAACACGACGAATGGATGTTTTCGTACTTTATTCTTCCTCCGCTGAAACTCCGACGGACTATATTTTATTTTGCTAGCCTATTTTTTTACGTTTTAACCCTCCGCAGTCCATTGTAACTTTAGAGAGTGACATTCTACGCTTATTTTTATTCCGGACTATTTTCTGTTGCTATACGATGGCGGGAGTACTGTAGCGTACTTTAATGTTGTAGTACGTGAACCATCTCTTGTTGGTTACTTTTATCCTCTCGGAGTATGCTAGCTTTTGCCACGAAACGCTGGCAAACGTTTAACGCGATATATATATATATATATATATATATATATATCGCGTACACGTACACATAAAAACACAGTCGCATTAAGTTAATCTCTTTTAATAATTGGGACAGCTGTTAGGATGAAAAGAATAGTGGTTTTTATTGCTCTTTTACAAATGCGATTATAGAACATAGTTTATCGTCTAAACGAATCTAAACGAATAAATTAGATAAGACTGACAAGGGGAGGACGCGCGGTGCCCCTCGCCGATTTAAGCCGTGATTTTTCTACGTGTAGTCCTCGATGAGGAAGAGATTTTGTGAAAGTATAGAAGTGCCCTACACCGCAATGTGTTGAGTCTTGCTGGAAAACTTAAAAATTTCTTTTGGACGAATACTCCTCCCCCCGATTCGCTTCTACCGTATTTTGTGTCATTTGAAGTTAAATTGACATATTTTTATTACGTTATCATTTTTGCTGTCCAACGTACGTAATTTTTTTAAAAAGGAAAAGTATACA